TAAAAGACGGCATGGGGCTGGATGGTCTAGCCCATTTTTGAAGCACTAAATAACAGTACCTTGATGTAAATGAGGCATATTTGCCACGTCGGGGAGAGAGAACAAAGGTCTCTTGCCCATGAACTTCATGTCCTACAAATATGAAGAGGACATTTTAAAGAAAAATGAAAGAAAAAAAGGAACAAAAAATGCCAATGAGGATAAAATTACGACTCATGCGAGGTGGAAGTGACGTAGAAGACAGAACAATCAATTATGAGGAGGAGGAGGAGGATGAATTAGTACTTTACAAATTTAGAATCTAGCGAGAGTAAACTCAAGTCCCAAACTGTTACTAGAATCCTACTGCACTCATACAGAGCTAAGCCATGCAACATATCAACTTTACATGAGATTATCCTCAAATCAAATCCCTTTGTTTGATATTTCAAACACTTGACAACATCTGCAAATGCCCCCCACTTTTTAGATAACCAGCTTTTTTTATTGTCAGCAATAGAAATTTCACCCCTGGCCCCACCCATCCAATGTAGAACCTCTCAATATAATATAACCACCTTAACAATATTTAGGGGAACCTAAACTTGCAGACCAATGGCAGATTGACACCTGGCAATGAGATAGAGGAAATTATTAAAGAAAGGGACAAGACAGAAGTACCAAGACCGACCTCCATGGTAATAAGCTGACCAGGAGAATATCTTGTGGCCTAAATGCCACACATCAAATGAACCACAAACAAGATCGCCACTCACCAATGAAGTGCTGAGCAAAACATGACAGGTGTATCCCCTGTCCCCCTCAATATAAGACCAAAAAAGTTCCATAATCGGCACTTGTCAGATAAAGTGCCAAGCTATAAGATGATATGTGTACCACCACCCCTCCATGCCTATGTAATTGTGACTGTGTGGCTATTCCTCAAAAGCTATGATGACTTTATCAAAGCACCCTCCACGAGGTATGAAAGACTGACATGAGGTATGATCTTTTCTACACAGTTCTCAATGATTTGCGACTAATTGCCAGGCAAAAATTTCTATTAAAGGCCAAAGAATGTGAGGCTTTGAATGAACGATCGCAGCTGACCAGCTAACCAATCCATGAATTTCTTTCTCTTCAAGATTGCAGCTAAAGGCACCACACAAACTCTATACAAAGCTAAGAACAATCTCACAAACCCATCACTTATAATAAGCTTTCTTTCAGTTTATCCATCACCACATGTTGACTTAAAGGATCAGACGGGCTATGCCAGAACATCTTCCGACGCCCTCCTAACCTCGTTTTTGTCTTGCAGGTTCACAAGTGGTCCCACCACACACACCACCTCAGCTTGCTCAGATTTTCTCACACAACAATATAATGAAAAATAACATCTTCTGTAAAATTAACAAAGAAAGAAAATATATATATCACTACTGAAAATGCTAATATCCCCAGCTATAAAGTGNCCACACACACCACCTCAGCTTGCTCAGATTTTCTCACACAACAATATAATGAAAAATAACATCTTCTGTAAAATTAACGAAGAAAGAAAATATATATATCACTACTGAAAATGCTAATATCCCCAGCTATAAAGTGACATGAGCCATCATTTCAAAGGCTATGGGACAAAAGAAGTACCTCATGAGTACCCTTCCAAAATATGGAGAGGNTGACATGAGCCATCATTCCAAAGGCTATGGGACAAAAGAAGTACCTCATGAGTACCCTTCCAAAATATGGAGAGGCAATTTGTCTTTTTATATTTTTCAATTTTCTCTCTACATTTAAATCTCAATTTCCTTTTAATTATACGATGAACTGACATGCCTTAAGAGATGACTGTTTTCGTAATTTCAATTGTTTCCTCTCTCTCTCAAATTATTCAATTTTGTAAATTCAATTTCAAAGGTTTTGCTATTTCATTACGATACACAGCCTATGAATAACGGATACCAAAGCTGCAATATTTGTATGTGATATGATACGTTTAAGATACAAAACCATACAATGAGCATACATGACCGAGACACTTAGGATTTAGTGAAGGTAAATATATGATTTTTTATTTTTACAAAGGGTCAGTCAAAGAAAGTAATTGAAATAAGTATTTTAAAACAAAATAGAGGAGTCCTTCTGCAAGAAAAAATATAACTTTGATAAAAAAAAAATGACTAGTTTATTCAATATGTTGGAACAAAGCCTACTCTCAAATCTAAGAATTGAACAATCCACTTAGCGAAAGCAAAAGACCAATATGAATAACTTATAATGGTTTGTTATACAAGTGATGTTTTGGATGAGTTGTCCATTGAAATGCCTAAAACAAAAAACTTAATATTGGTCTTTGCTGAATGCGGACTTATGGAATTAGGAAAGATCTGATGCCAAAAGAGATAAAGGTCACCAACTCAACAGCAAACCAAAAAAAACTATCTTGCATTGTACTTAATTTCATAAGCTTCAATGAAAAAGAAATACTTCGTTTCTTTGAAAAAGAAAAATGAAGTTACTGCATAACATGTAAATTTAGTGAATGTTGAAGGTAGGTTGGCTGACACTTTGATCA